CACACCAAGATGTCTGCCAGTCACAGTTAAGACAAGCCCCGCCCACAGAAAGATGTCTGCCAGCCACAGTTAATACAAGCCCCGCCCACACCAAGATGTCTGCCAGTCACAGTTAAGACAAGCCCCGCCCACACCAAGATGTCTGCCAGTCACAGTTAATACAAGCCCCGCCCACAGAACCGCAGAGACCCCTATTTGGAAAAATAGGGGACCAGAGTACAGGAAGACCTGAACCTGACGGCAGGTTCGTGACTCATGGATGGTTGTGATGCTGAGGGTTTTGTCTCAGGAAAAGTWAGATTCATGAAGATCAGGATCTTTACAGTTTGATGAAGAATCAGTGTTTATGGTTCAAACAAGAAAAAACAGGAAGTAGAAATGAGAAACTCATCCAGGTCTGTGGTCAGCAGGTCCAGGAGGAGACCCACCTCTCCCTCTCTCTGGTCAACTCTGCACTCTTTTTACAGCTGAATCCCAAACAGGCTAAAGAAAGTTAAGTTAGGAGTTAAGTCAAGTTAAGTTTAAACCTAAACGTAGCATCCCACCAGCTGAATGCTAATCAAAACACAGCTAAAGGCAAATATGAACAAAGCTGTAGCTAAAACCTGTAAACATCTTGTAAACAACTCCAGAGATTTTAGTGAAAGTTTCAGAAAATAATCCTTGGATGTCTGACTACAACACAAGCTCACATCAGTGAAACACAAAACAACATCACACTAACACAAATATAAGAGAATCAGTTCATGATTTTGACCAAAGAGAGCTTTAACTCCATTATCTCTATGATAAAACTTTAGTTGAAACTAAGATGACACGGTGGACAATATGTGTTAGAACAAGGAATGTTGAGCTTTTATTTTGAAAGGCAGTGAATGGTTCGAGGAAAAGCTTCCTGCTGAGCTGCAGTGTGGGATTGTGTGATTATCCCTCTGCACACATTAATCTTCCCTGTCCTAAAGAGCTTAGAACTGTTCAGTGCCAGGCTGTCAAAGATCTCTGACAGACACGGTTCTGTCTGGGTCCGGAAAGATCCCTGACCCACAACTGGACCCCCACAGCCTGGAGTGGCTCCTCTTTCCACAGCCAGCCCTTCCAGGACTCTCAGACCAGCTGAGTGTCTGCAGGGGGTCTTGGGTCTTCCCTGGGGGTGCTCCTGACCAGATGCCCGGGTGCCGGGGGTCTCGGTGCTCTGACCCTGGCTTACAAATCTGACTTGTGGTGTTAACATGTTTGACTGACTTTATGACAACAAACATCTGTGAGAGCCCACAGTTACTGACTTATACAGAATATAAACATTTACTGTTTGTTACAATTATTTCAACACTTAGATGAACCTTTTTCAACATAATGATTAGAATTCAGTTCAGCATGGGTATTTCTTTTTAAAATAATATCATTTTATACCAGATAAACTTCATACTGCGTAGTGGTAGCATGTAGTATGACCCCTGCATGTACACAGYACCAATGCACCAGAACTCAGAGGTCACCAGAACAGAGTTATTGTTTTAGGTGGGGCTCAGTGGTGGGCCTGATAGATGGACCTTCATCAGAGGTAAACAACAATAAAAATCTGAAGCTTCTATGTTGAACAGTTTCTGAGTTATAAGCATTGTTTTTGTCCAGACACCCCCTTTTAAGATGGAGCCCCCTCCTCAAAAATGGGCTCTATCATAAAACGGTTGGCTGGAGCAGTGTAGGTCAGACTCATCTACAGTCCTGACTAATTTCATGTTGATTGGTGCAGCTGTTTCTGTGTTACGATTGACCAAAAATYACCAATAAATAAATAAATAAATAAACAAACAAACAGTAGGAAAACAAAAACCACTTTGTGTGCAGGGGTCCTATTAAAGTAATAAAGCTCTATTTAACTGAAGCAGTTGGAAGCTAAAAGACCTGAACTACTATCCAACACCAAGATGAAATATTTCCCATCATTTGAAGTTATTGGTTTGTTTATTAATGTGTGGACTTGTAAAATAATAACGTGGCCCTTCATCGTCCAGCACCATGACTTGTTTCCTGTCCAGCAACAGGACCAACTCAGTCACTCTAGAGACCTGGACCAGGTTTTGGAGTGATCCAGATTGACCCAAGTTCATAAAGTGAACTGAATCTACCAGCTGTAAGACTCTGACCTGTAGACCACCATGCTCCAATCATCATCATCATCATCATCATCATCATCATCATCATCATCATCATCATCATCATCATCATCATCATCATGAAGAAGAACAAGTATTTATAACAGCTCGTGTCTCACTACCAGTAAAGGCAGAAAAAATTAAGACTGAACTCCAAAAGCTCAAATGATGATAACAAATGTTAATAATCTGTCAAACTACAACATACTAACCATAAAGCCCCAGTTCTGCCTCATAAATCAGATTTATGGAAACTGCTCTTTTCATGTCATCAAGCAGCCCGTTCTGTTATCAGTCCATTAAATGGATGTTATTAGCAGTTATCAGTCCCATAGAATGGCTTCAGACTGTCCCGACAGTGCCTCCTAGTGGGTTACCAGTACCATATACGTTGGAATGCAACAATCTGCTACCGCCTGAGTCTGGTCTACTTTATCGTGGCCCATGTCATTTTCTCTAAAACTAACCTTAGAGGTTTTATGTCTCATACTAACCATCTGACAGTCTGAAGCCATTCTATGGGAYTGATAACGGCTAATAACGTCCATTTAATGGATGATAACATCTGAAGCGGGTGTTCAGGCTGACATCAGGCTGAGCTTGTAAAGGAGAAGTAAAGAGCCGGAGCACTCACCGTCCTCTGTGGGGACATAGATGTTCATGTAGAGGCAGTCCTCACTCTGCTCCTGCACGTAGCTCACCACCGTGTCCAGGTTGGMCGTGAACCACACGGGCAGCATATCGTTGAGTAAGAAGCGGTCCTCTAAGAACTGAGGACACACCGGTGCAAAGTGGGTGGAGTTTCTGATGCCCGGCCACGACATGGGGGGCTCGGGTGGTTGGAACCTGCGCTCCTCGGTTGGAGCCAGGGCGTACGGCACTCCCAGGTACTGCTCCACTGGTCCCAGGATCTCGTTGGGTAGAGTCACCTTCACTCCTCGCAGTTTCCCATAGTTGGTGGTGACGACTGGATGCTGCTGGGCCTGGATACCGTCCACACAGACCAACCCCAGCCCCATCCAGAGCAGAAGGCTGCTCTGCACCCTGGACGTCCATGAAGGGCCGACGAGAGCTGACATGGTGGGCTTGGCCTGGTTCTGGCAGGTCGTGCTCACGCTGCACCTGCTGGTCCTCTGCAGCCTCCTCGAAGCTTCTCAGACTGAGTGTGGAGTGAAAAGGTCCCAGCCAATCAGCACTGTTGTCGTACAGTTCTCCATCTTCAGAGCACAGCTGGGGCTCGGCTGCTGAGGTCCAACCGTCCTGCCCAGGACCACTGCAGTTACCTGAACGCCAGCTTGATGCAAACCCTGAAAAACAACACATTACAGTCTATTTACTACAGTGTATGTACTACAGTATGTTTACTACAATATATTTACTGCAGTATATTTACTACAGTCTATTTACTACTGTATATTTACTACAGTATATTTACTATAGTATATTTACTACAGTATGTTTACAACAGTATGTTTACTACAGTATGTTTACTATAGTATATTTACTGCAGTGTATTTACTACAGTATATTTACTACAGTATGTTTACTACAGTATGTTTACTATAGTATATTTACTGCAGTGTATTTACTACAGTATGTTTACTATAGTATATTTACTGCAGTGTATTTACTACAGTATGTTTACTACAGTATGTTTACTATAGTATATTTACTGCAGTGTATTTACTACAGTATGTTTACTATAGTATTTTTACTATATTATATTTACTGCAGAGTATTTACTACAGTATGTTTACTACAGTATGTTTACTATAGTATATTTACTATAGTATATTTACCACAGAGTATTTACTACAGTATGTTTACTATAGTATATTTACTGCAGTGTATTTACTACAGTATGTTTACTATAGTATTTTTACTATATTATATTTACTGCAGAGTATTTACTACAGTATGTTTACTACAGTATGTTTACTATAGTATATTTACCACAGAGTATTTACTACAGTATGTTTACTATAGTATATTTACCACAGAGTATTTACTACAGTATGTTTACTATAGTATATTTACTGCAGAGTATTTAATAC